GTTTTAGACAGTAAGAGGTAATAGAAACGTGAACAGCGTTTGATACTCGTTTATCAAAAAGCACTCCACTTAGGATGTGTACGCCTGTCAATTTACGACGTTACAAAATAACGCGATCGACAATGTGTCTCTTGTGATTTTGAAATCTAGTGCTGCGTCTTGCAGTCAACGCCAGATCGTGACCTTCTCGGACAATCTCAACGCTGCGTCGCGACTCGAGAGCGTGTCGTCGAGACGAGTCGCTGCTATTTCGATAGTGTGTCTCACGACCGTCGTCACGGAAATAGATTACCCTGAAATTCAAACACCTCTTCTCCCCCTCCTTTCATTTTCTCGACGCGAACGAACTCGCAAATGAGTTGTCTGCGAGGTGCAATATCGAAGGTGTAAATTGGAAAAGATTAGAGGACTAGAATGAAAAAGCTTCGCGTGAAGTCGAAATCGCAAACTTCGTAAAACTCACTAAAACTTTGATCGATTCGATCGATATCTTTCAGACGCTGCTGTGACGTGCATCGAAACTTAACGCTTACACTAACATATTGTATATGATGTCAATAACAGATATTGATTAACTCGCTGCTTACTTAAATATTTCTCATATAACTAACTATTCACTAACAAAACGTTGATGACTAGCTTCACTAACGCTACTCTTCAAGATAGATTTATGATACGTTCTTATAAAAAATTGTAAAGGCAATAGAGTTCACGCATACAGAATCACGTATGATTACGCTGTTGCATTCTCCAATTTATTTGATATTATTTTTAATTTCCTTTGTTATTCGTCTCTCAATACCCATATGCTTCCACTACTTAAGACGTTTATAGGATCAATAAAGATAGTTGCCCGCATCGTCGGGTCCTAATCGTCAGGAGAGCCTTATAACGAAAGAGATTATAAATCCCCTTGGTATTACATAACACGTATGTGCACGAATAGCTTCTTCCGTGTACGCTTCGCGCGTTCAAGAACGTGGCAGTTACTTATTCAACGTTTATCCCTTAAGGATTAAAATTTGTAGTTAAACTAACGCATTTATAATATCTGTAATCGCGAAAAAGAAAAAGAAAAAAAAAAAAAAGAATGAAATGTACGAAGCAACAGTTTATCGCGATAAAAACTATTTTAAGAACAAGCTCTTCGGTCCTCTATGATTCTCCTAGAAATCTCGGATTTAAATTCTATAAATGATCTATAAAATTTACAAATCCTTTTGAGCCACGTTTTGGAAATCTCATAAATAGGACTGGGAGGGGTCCTATAAAAGTCCTCGATTAGAATAATTTCCGACGCCGACGCGCGAAGGGCTTCCACTTATGACCCGGGCCTAATCGCTCTCGCATTTGTGTCGGCACCTCGAAGGGAGCGTGAGGCTGTGCTGGATGGAGAGCTCGTTCGTCGGCACGCGGCCCGTGGACTCGCCGGAGACGCCTATGAGCCTGGCGACCGACCAGGAGGCCGGCGACTGCTGCAACGCGGCCGGCACCGAGTCCTGCAGCTGCCAGGACTCGGCCGCGTCCGGTCTCTACCTGGACCTGACACCCAGCCGGGACGACGTGCGCCATCAGCATCTTCAGGCATCCTCGGCCGGCCCGTCGCCCACGTCCTTCTCTAACTATCATCATCATCATCATCATCATCAGCGTCACCAGCATCGCCAGCAGCAACAGCAACATCATCACCGCGGTGAGTTGCTGCTCGCCTAGCGGACGCGCGAAAACTTTTGCCACTCCGGCCACTTTCGGGTACTCTCCCCGCCCATCGCCGAGCGCGCCGAAAGACTGACGAAGACGATCTCTTGAGGAGATTTTTCCTGCGGATTAGAAATTCAATCGAAAGACTCGTATGAAATGACGTAATTAGTTTTAGAGAGAAAACAAGAAAAACGGTATAGATATTTAATTAATGTAATGTACATATCGATGTTAATTACTTTCCCGTTCTTTTTTTTTCCGAATCGTCCTACGTGTGTAATAAATATTACGACGATAAAAGTAATGTTCGTTCGTCGTGTGCTTTTATCTCGTCGACGTAGTAGGTATAACATGCTAGAGGCACTCTCATAATTCTCTCCGGGACCGCGAGCTTTTTATCCGTCATCACGACGGTGATTAGAACTTACGCCCACATATCGATAATCGTTATCTCCCTTCATTCCGTCCTCGTTTTCGTCAGCTTTCGTTGCGCGCTGCAGGGCGAGCCGAAAGCAGGTTGCGCGAGGCTTAATCGAGCTTTCAGGACTCAGCCAATAATTAATTTACAAAGCCGACTCGAGTCAACATATATACTTTTCTTTTCTCGCTCTCGAAGGTTTATCACTGCGACTACAAAACGATAAAGCTGTACTCATCCACTCGAGAGCTCTCTCTCTCGTCGGACCTCGGGAATGAATCTCTCGATAGTAAAACCTTCGAAGCTGCGAATAATCATCAGACTTCGTTCGTCGAAAGCTTTTACCATCGAGAATTTTCTATTCTCGAGAGCGATGCCCTCGAGTGGATATCATCAGGCTTGATCGAATGGCGAGACTCGAGATGATGATGAAACGAGACGAATTCGTTGCGTTAATATTTAGCGACGTCGCGATTTATCTGATTGCAGCTTACTTGCCCGAGAGGCAATTATTTCTCTCGGGAAAACTGGGAGTGCATACTCGAGTCGCGCTTTTCGTGAAAAAAAACCTTTTCGCACATTTGTAGCGAAAGGCTCTAAAATAAAAAATTCTCCATTCCACGCGCGTTCTCTCGTCTCTCACTCACTCTCTCTTTCTCTCTCCTTCTCATTCTTGTCGTCGCTCGTGCAAGAGAGCTCGTCGCGAAGAATTTTGTAGTTACACTTTCTTACTTTGTTTACGATACGACCTGTGTGTGCCGACGACCCTCCGCTCCCCTTTCTGTTCGCTGATGAAGGAACAATTAAAAAAGGCGCTCCCGCATTCATCACTGTATGGAAATATTAATTTTATATTAATTTAACCATTTTATTTCCCCTCCTGTCTCCTCGCTCACCATTGTCAGTAGTTATTTGCGTTCATGTATGTTTACTGTAAAGCTGTCCACTTTTACGTTAACACCTGTAGAACCTGTACAGGTGTATACACATATTTGTATTAATTAGGTATTTACTTATGTAAAACGCGCGCATATCGTTTATTATGTGTTACGAGCGCATCGATATTATTATTATTATTATCATTATCGTTATTATTATTATTTTAATTGTATTATTATTATTATTATTATTATTATTATTATTGTTATTATATTTTAATTACGGCTCCGAAGCACGCAGAATCACGCGCGCACGTCTCGTTCTGTCTCTTGCTGTGCCTTAATAATTTTTTTATTTTGTTATTACTATCGATGTATATTGAGTGCGCGAGTGATATTATATATAAAAGATTTCGATCGTGTGAATCACGAGACGACAAGAACAATGATCTCGCGATGATTCTGCGTGCCCGGTGCTCCCCTGGTCTCTCTGCCTCTCTTTCAAACGGTTCCGTACTTATTGTTCGGACGTGTCAACGATTATCATTTGTCTGTAGAGCGTAATTATTATCCCTGGCAACAAATAAATTATTGTCGTCATTCTTTGTGTTTCCGTAAACTTCTTTGTTCCCGCGTTTATTTATATATTTACATGCATATATACACACA